GAAGAAAATCATAAAAGAAAAAAAGAAGAAGGATCTTATATATTATAGTGTTTTGTTATATATATATATATATATAACTAGATGTACTTCCGCAGGATTCCCGAAAGTGTTCTGTTACGAGAGTAAATAAACCAAAATTAAGATTAATAAATATTTTCATTTCTTGCTGTTTGAAGTTCATATGTCATGCTGTGTTGTAACCTACAGAGTGCCTAATTCTGCTCGAGATTTATGGCATGTGCACGTTTTACTGACGTCACGACAGTACAAATTGCAACGTTAAGCGTCCCTTATGTGACAACATTTTAGTGTCTACTGACTGACAGACAACACACTACGGTATAGTGGTGCGAGTGGTTAAAACAGACGACCCCTCCAGGCGGCTTTTGGCCCCCTTTCAGGTAAATGAGCCTAAAATTATCAAACGTTATGAATTATCTCTATTTTTTTTCAGAACTAACGAGTACTACTTAATGAACTTATTTCTAGCTTGTCTTGTGTGTTCCAGATAAAACCGGCTTGCTTTGGCTATTAGAGGTTATCGTTTAATATGCTCTGCTCATCGTCTGACCTGGTTACTTTGTAAGCTTTAAAAGAACGGTATGGCACGTTTTTACATCTGTGACACCATTTGGCCAAGGATATGGTGGCTAGTTAAATGTTATATAGTAGTTTCTCAAGTGTAAATTGTTATTTAATGACAACACACACACACATATATATATAATACATAACAATTTATTGTAATTATGAACAGTTCTAAATATAACTTAATAGCTTTATGATGGACTATTTGTAACCTAAAGAGCTATGTATTGAAGATGTCTTGACGTTTCTTCATTTGAACAGTTTTCGTGCCCGAAGAGTGGAGTTGAGTTCAAAGGACATCGTGAGTTAGTTTGAAGTAGAGAAGAAAATTGTACAACGCAAAGAGAAATCTAAAAAAAAAACACTTAGAGTTTGTTTGTAATTAAGCAGAAAGCTACACAATGGGCTATCTGTACTCTGACCACCACGGGTATCGAAACCCGGATTCTAACGTTGTAAGTGCGCAGACATATCGCTGTGCCACTGAGAGAGGGTATATATGAGATTTAATTCATTACTAGCAAGTAATAAGATCAAAACCAGTTTCGTATAACTTTTAGTGCAAGAAATTCTTCTGTAAGCTTGAAAGCTTATAACGTTTAAATTCTGGATTCGATTCTCACATCAGACAAACGCGGATAACCCATTGTGCAACTTTCACCTAAAAGATTACTAACCATCTAGTTTATTAATCTGAAACAATAACATTTTTAGTTTTTTTTATAACATATTTTAATAACGTAAATGCAAGTTTTAAAGTTTGTCGGAGTTTATCTAACGTCTGTATTTACTAAAAACTCAACATTATCGTTAAAACTTTGTTTGTTATAGTTTTATGTATTTTAGATCTTCGGGTGTCAGTATCTGATATGCTGATCTTAAAGGTTTGAAGACATAGCTTTAAGATTTTATCAATCAACACCGAATTCGAATCGTATCTAATTTCTATGGTTTTGTGGCATTATTATTTAGATTCACAACACATACTTGAATGTACAGTTCGTAAACCTGGCTCTTTTACATCTAAATCTCAAGTTCTAACGTCTTATAGAAAATCCCAGAAGCCACCATAAATCATAAGGTTAAATACTTTATTTATCAAAGTTGAGAAATTACGTTAAGAGTACTAGATTTTTATTTTTGTACCAAGCTATTCAAGGACTGATCTGCTCTAGCCGTCGTTTACGGACTTACAACACTAAAATCCGGGGTTCGATTCTCCACGGTGGACACAGAAGATAGCCCCAAACAAACAACTCTAATTCTGAACTAATAAACTAATGGATAGGCAGATAGTCAACAGCACCCTCCTCCATCTCTTGGGTTACTCTTGTCTGACCTACTATTGAAATTATACGTCACTCGTATAAATTACCCACGGCCTCCAAATGCAGAGCATGATTTTTTTTCTCATTGTTGTTGTTGTTTTTGATTAAAAGACACGATTGATGGACTCATAGACCTTCAGTCCGACACGAAGCAGTAGAAAAAGTTCGACACAAGCAAAATAGGATTAGAATAGTTTCCATTTGAATACCATCATAAAATAATATCATTTCATTGCGGAAAGTTACATGATTTCCGCCTCTTGAACATTTCCATTTAATCTTTTGTTGTGCCGGATAATAGAACATTAGATGAAACAGACAAGTCGCATCATTTTTAAGTATTTTTCTACTTGTAGAATTATTTTATCTAAATAAGATAAAGGTCCCAAATTCGTAAATAGTATTACAGTTGTGAAATATATTTAAATCGATTAGTTATTTAAAATGGCCAATATATATTTTTAGGGGGGGTGGATATATGGCTTAAACCACATATACACTTCTTTCCCTACGTTTTTACCTAACTCGCTGCTGGTTTTCGACAAGAACAGCATCCAT